TTCATTTTGGGACTGGTTCATTAACTTTTTCAGTGGTCGAGTTCCATCTAAATTTTTATCTACGAGACTGAATCAATTTATGCCATTCTCACTAAGGAATGTACATGCTTAGGCAGAGTTATTGTGCAAAATTTAATGATATACATTTTCAAACAGAGATTAAGCTAATCATTGAAACAAGCTGTACATTTAAGGTGGAATAATAGGAATTCTGCATTGATGCTGTTCTTGTTTTAAAGTCATGATACTTTTGGGGTTCAATAATTGTTAGATTTTAAAATGTTCATTTAAACATTTAGAATGCAAATTCATTAATTCCAAAAATTTGAATGATTTCATTATTTCATTAGATCATGTTTTACTGTTATAATTTACTTTCATGTTGTTGATGTTTTAAATAATAGATTTGAGGTAAATATTACAACACCTTGGTTAAGATTTTAGAAAAAGATTTGAGGATAATTCTATTGTAACACACTAATTATATATTTGTAGAATAGATTCAGAATGTTGTTGTTCTACTATAAAAAAAAATTCATTTGAATATTATAATGTAAATGTTACATGTACAAAAATTTGAATGGATAATTTCATTATTGTTAAATTTATATTTTGTTGCTACTCAATATTTGATACATCCATGGAAATTTTCACATACATTTTTTTAATTGCTGGGAATTTTTGTTTGCTTGTCTTGTGAGAACTTGATAAATATTTTGGAGAGTTATTTCCCTTGTTAATAGGGCAACAAATTCTCTTCTTTTTTTTTAAAGTGGTCACTATTCCATGTACAAATGTTCATTATTATTAATGAAGAATTATGTAAGGAGCTTTGTTTTTGTTGAAACATACCACCAAACTGCTTGACAGCCAAAGAATATGTTAGATCTCGAAACATTCTCCATATTGTAATATCAAATCTGCTCTTGATCCAATGTGTTAAAAATATGAATTTGTGGTTGACAGGTTTTTTTTTAAGGCAGTTGTTAGAGTATTTTCAGGTCTTTTATTATATCTTAAACTATCATGTAAAAGCATTTTTGAGGAATTAATTGTATCTTATATTGTTTTGAATAATTAAATTCTGTTTTAAATCTTAAGTAAATGTCTTTTTGATGCTTATCATACCATAAGTTTTTTACTTCTGTAAAACATTTTCCGTAAAATTTACGAACAAATGGCTGGCAGCTAGGTTGCCAATCTTTGGACGTAATTTTTACGACATGTTTTTTTAAAAATATATTTACGGTGTGTCGTAATTTTTACGTACATTGGTTGGCAACCTAGCTGCCAGCCATTTGTCCGTAAATTTTACGGAAAAAGTTTTACAGTGCAGGAATAGGCTTTACTTTCCCAGGAAAATCGATGATAAATAAATGCTAATAATGTGTTTAGAAAACGTTCCATCGTCTTGGAAATATGCTAAATTGGTGAACATACGACCATTTTACGTAGTTGTATATGGCAGAAATCGAATCTGCCTCCCCGAAAACATATATATTGTCACCAAAGACAACTACTTAATCGAAATCAACCCATCGTCCGATTTTCCCGCCACAAGTGGCAGCAATATTGGAAATATACGAACATGTGATCATTTTACAAGGTTGTAAATGTCAGAAATTGATTCTGCGCCCCTGTAAACATATATACATGTATTGACACCAAACACTATCACTTAATCAAAATCTGCACATCGTCTCATTTTCCCGCCAAAAATGCCCGCCATCTTGGTAATATGCTAAGTATATGAACATGTGATCATTTTACAGGGTTGTAAATGTCAGGAATGGAATCTGTGACCCCGAAAACATATTTATTGACACCAAACACTACTACATAATCGAAATCAACACATCGACCGATTTTCCTGCTAAAAATAGGCGCCATCTTGGAAATATCATCATGAAATGATGGAAAACAATCTGAGATATAGTCATGAATGCCGCCAATATTAATACATTGCCAAATCACAGTTGATATGTCGATAACATTATAAATAAGGTGAAAATAAAAAATAATTTGGAATATTATCGCAAAATGGCTACCCTCAAATAATGGCCTCCAATAATATGAAGACCTACTCAAAAAAAATGTCAACATTGTTTTTTTGTAATCAAACATCAAAACCTACAAAATAAAGCTTATTCCACGATTTCTACCCGAAAAGCCGACGGATTTACATTAACGATCGGACTAAGTACTTTTGTGCATATTATATCAATTGTATTGAAATGTATGAATTTATATAAGCTTCGTAAACGAAATGCGGTTTAACGTCCCTTTCTCTCTGAATTCATGGCGGCGATGACAGAATGTGACTCTGGCATGAACGAAAAAGCACAGTACATGTAATGTCAAAACGCATAACCTATATACGTAATTATTTTTAAAAAGTTTTTTTTTTATATTTTTTTGTAGAAATGTGTGTCACCCGTACACCAGTAAGTAATTTACTTTGACATTTAGATATATCAGAGTCTGTTTGACTAATAGTTAAAACACTATGTAAATAAATAACCTATCACTATAACTCTTTACATAAGATTTATTTTATACGTGACAATATTAGAACTAGCAAAGCTAACATGGTGCAGCGTAAATAATTTTGAATTATTTTTTAAAGAAATTATTATTTATTGATATAATAAAGTTCTTATTGATTAAAGGTGATACAAAAATGAGGATTTTGATCGAAAAGTAAATATTAAATAACTAAACATATACTATTCAAAAAAAGTAGGGGATATTTGATTTTTAAGTGTTATTAAAGTCACCTAATGAAACTGACGAAGAAACAAATGACAAAATGAAATGAAGTTCACATTCATCGATTTATTCCAAATGATCGTTAGACTAAGTAAGGCACAGACTGACCATTATAAGGGTAAAATGATACCCGGGGTCAAACAGCAAAGTTACCACAGCATCACAACCAAGTCAGTAACGGGTAAATCCTCCTCTGTTTGCCAAACAAGCATTGATCCGACGTGGCATACTCCTAATGAGACGTCTAAGGTCATTTTGGTCCAGATTGTCCCATTCCTGTTGCAACGCAGCAGCAAGTTCTTGGACATTGGCAGGACGTTGTTGACGTTGACGTAACCTCTGTCCAAGCATGTCCCAGACATGCTCGATGGGGGAGAGGTCGGGACTCAGTGCTGGCCAAGGTAATGTGGTGATGTTCTGTTGTTGGAGGTAACCTGTAACGATCCTGGCCCTGTGACATCTTGTGTTGTCATCCTGGAAGATGAAACGGCGGCCATGACGTCGTGCGAACGGCACAACATGGACTGCCAAGATGTTGTCCCGGTAGTACTGGCCTGTAACACGCCCTGCAACAACATGTAAAGCCGTTCTTCCAGCAACAGTGATGCCTCCCCACACCATAACAGAACCACCCCCAAATCGATCATGTCTGATGACGTTAACGTCTTGGAAGCGCTCGTTTCGACGACGCCACACCCTCCTACGTCTGTCCAAAAAATCAACAGTGAACCTTGACTCATCTGAAAACATCACATTGCTCCAGCGTCGATTATCCCAGTGTTGACGATCCCTACACCAACGACGTCTTGCCTGAATGTGATGATCTCTCAAACAAGGGATCACGCGAGGACGTCGGGCGCGAAGGTGACCCCTATGCAGTCGATTCCGAATCGTCTGGCCACTCACTCTCACACCAGTGTCTGTTTGAAGACGAGCGCTGATCTGATTTGCTGTGATGACACGATTTCTCAAGGCCAAGGTACGGATAAATCGATCCTGGGCTTGAGTTGTCGCCCTTGGTCGACCTGAGCGTGGTCTGTCCTGTACAGATTGTGTATCACGGTATCTGGACCATAGCCGGCTTATGTCAGACTGAGAAACATTCATCGTCCGCGCCACAACCGCCTGTGTTGTGCCGATCTGTAGCATGCCAAGGGCACGTAACCTTTCATTTTGGGTAAGCCGACGCATATCAAAATTTATTTTCTGGTCACTAAAACAATTAAACTGATGTTTCCACCCTGGAATTCAATGCCACAATGACTGTCAGAGTCGTGCAAATCTTGGGTTGGACCCCCATGATGATCCCAAGCATCACCTGCATTCCATGCGGTAGCTATTGGTGCGTTTGGGCGTCACATGTAACTGGAAATGTTTCTTCTGTTAGGTTCTATAGTGACTTTTTTCGTAGTCATTTGCATATTTTAGTATTATGCCCCCAAAATCAAATATCCCCTACTTTTTTTGAATAGTATAATAGAGTTACTAAATTACTGAAACTGGTGTTTTGGTTCCGTTTTTCTAAATGTTAAATATTGATTAATCCCGCTGCTTCGTTATTTTTTATTTCCTTTATTTAACCGTCTGCTAGAGTGGTGGTTATTATTCGGCGTAATTCATTGTTTATTTATATTATCTTCACTTTTAATTATTATTATTAAGTCTTGTTGGTACTGCCTTATACATTAAGTACGCTTGCCATTTTATTTGCAAAAATGTGAAGATTAAGATTGCCTTTTAAAAACTATGGTCGACCCAAACCGGGTACACATATCACATTTTTTGTTTTATCTAAAACTAGAAATATTTATTTGATACGAGGCAAACGTACACAAAAGCTTTGCAAAATGTACTCTTAGCCCCCCCCCCCCAACATCATCTTTTTAATGATTGCTATAAGCGTTACAAGTTTAACTTAAATGTGTAGAACATGGTAGTAGGAACAAAGTTCCAGGTACACGTAATACCTTTGGCATGTTACTTTCATTAGTTTCTAGTTTAACCAGCTTATAATTGCCAAGAGAGAGGGAGAGAGTGGGGTGTGTTTCTTCAGCTCAGTATAAAACATAAATAAACATATACAAAAACAAGCCAATAGCATGAAGCGTTAGTTGTGGTTTAGACTTAGTTCGAGAAGAGCTGGGATTTTGGACAAGAAATCACGTTAACTTTTTGCTTCTTTAAACTTATGACATACGTAAATAAACCCCCCAGCGAACAGGTGAATAGTGTGTGCCACGTGACTTCAAAGCCACCGACACAAGTATTGTCGCTAAAAGTATAGAAGGCAGAAGACGGGATTTCTGGTGAATGACAGTGAAAAATGGGATTTCAAATATTAGGATGTATTGTTTTCTTTATTTGTATACGTGAGTACATTTCTTTCTATCCCTTAATACTTAATGAACCGAAACAAATCTAAAGTATTATTTCGCTAACTGTATATTATCACTATAAGCATTATTATTTAATTGTAGAACTAAAATTTGTCCATGCCTTATATTTATTTTATTGATTGATTTTTTTTTTGAGGTGGGGGATGTGGGGGGGGGGGGTCGTAACGCCATTCAGCCGCTTTTAATAGTAAGTGCAGGAGAACACACTACACGCATACAAAATCGATAAGACAAACGTGCGGACAAGTCAAACTACACAGACATTGCAAGAAATAAACAACAAATGTAAACTCAAGTGAATGGATCTGTCCCCGGAATGCGATGATTATAGGGACATTTTCTAGCTTGAGAAATATAAATTAAAATAGACGTCAGCATTCAATGACAAAAACAAAAAAAACCATGACCGAGCATGAATTCTATAGCCTAGGCTGAGGCGAGACAGTTAACCATAGTGATAAACAAAGTTAAGTCTACCAGGACAAAGTAGCTTTCTGTGTACGAATTTCCATGATTTAAGCGATAATATTTCTGATATTTGCCTAAGATAACTACATTATGAAAGGGTGCTAGCGATAGGACCTAATGACCCAACGGAAATCCGATGGAGTCTTTCCATAATACATTGTAAGAACTAGATCATTTTTGGAATGATAGCAAATCTTGTATTTTACGATTTATTAATTACTAGTCATTGAAAGTAATTGTTGAAGATAAAAATCTAAAAAACTTTTTTCCGCCTTGGACCACTATTTCGAGAACAACCAAATATAACAAATTTCAAAAAGCTAGATAATAATCTAAAATCTCATATCACGAAATGTATAGTAGCTTGGTCTGTTAAATTTCAGGCAACTCTAGAATCTTTTGGAGAATGGAAAAAACACGTGTTTTATCTCTTGTATCAGAGAATCAAGTATATTAAACAAAACCCAAGACGCTCCTCCCACCCGAGGTCCCAAAGAACAATACATCTGCAGCTGAATGCCGTGATACTATTGCTTTTATCTGTAAAAGTAAGAATATTCTTACTGAAGTTGGACTTTGACCCCAACACCAAAAATGACACTTATAAATGCATTACGGATTTAACTAAACTAGGTATTTTACATAATCAATATACCTTCAACAGGAGCAGTGGTATTAAAGGTAATGTTAAAATAGATGCACTACCTTACATTTATTATATGCCTAAATTCCATAAAAACCCTGTAAATTTCAGGTACATAATATCCTCCAGCAAACTGCCAAACTAAACCATTAGCTAAAACGATAACCAAGGGACTTAAATTATGCCAAACCCAACATGCTATTTGGTGCAGATCACTTCGCAGTTGCACTGGCATTAATAGTTTTGTCATAATCTCTTTAATTTAAGTGCACTGCCAAAGGCGGAACACAATTACACATTTTAAAAGAAATTTCGAAACTTCCATTTCTTCAACATAACAAGTTTGACATTTCCTATAAATATATAACCGACTATATATTGGCAATGATCTAATTCAATAATTATTTAAATTTTTCTGCAGTTTCTGGATTATGCCTGTATATAAGTACTATTTCTTCAACATGCCTGGTTGGCATTTCTTATAGGTGCATTATATTTTGTGCAATCACATAGCTGAATAATTCCGATTAGTTCCTAAATTGATAGTTTATTAACTTTTTGGCGTTATCTTATCTTATATTTTGTGCAATAACATAGCTGAATAATTCCGATTAGTTCCTAAATTGTTAGTTTATTAACTTTTCGGCGTTATCTTATCTGGATTATCGCCCTATTTTTTTTTTTAACTCTTTAGTCCATGTGACAGACAGATTTTCATTACAAATTTTATGAATAAATTTAACCATGATTTTCAGTTAGCCTTAGGTCTAAAGTGTCCAAAATTGTTTGATGGACTTCCGGGTCACTTTGCCAAATGTCAGTTTGGCGGCCATCTTTAAAAATGGCCGTCGTTTTTTTTATGTTGTTTAATTAATACTATCAGTTTCAAAATTAAAGGCTAATCTGAAAACAGCAATATTTTCCGTTTTGTTTTCGTAATGTGTGTTCATAAGTTTACTAAAGAATCTTGTTCAGACCCATATAAGCCAAATTATCTCTTTGGTCAACTAAAGTGATTTACTAGATATCAGAAACATTGATCATAAAAAATAATCTCTAATATGAGTGTCCCAAATCCAAGATAAAGGAAATTCAAAATGGCGCCAAAATTAGCTAAAATGGCCAATTTGTCAGATAATAATCATTTATCATGTAATATCATGTGTTACTGAACTTAAAATTAACCAAAACAAAGAGTTTTAAAAATCCAAGATGGCAAATATTCAAAATGGCGGCCAAAATTTCCGTAAAATGATCGATTTTCTGTTTGATATAGCTTGGAATGTCTTTTATAAGGTTTTTCAGAGTCACTGAACTTTACAAACCCTCAAAAATAATATGTTAAAAATGATGCTAATGATAATGCTAAAATGACACATACTTTAGACAATATATCTGGCTTATCCGACCCTCCACCCCCCACCCTATAAATATTAAATGGGGTATCTGGAATTGATTATACTGGATCTTACAGATCTTAAGACATTCCGCAAAAATAATGAGGCATTTTAATTTCATCCCCTATGCCTTTGCACCATTTATAGCGGAGTGAGAATCATTTATGAAATATCCAGTTGTTAAGAATTTAAGTTCTCCTATTCGTTCAGAAATGGTAATCCTTTTGAAAAGTACCGAAAAAACTCCGGAAAATACCGAATAAAGTTTTTGATACTAATTACCGGAGTGAGAATCATTTATGAAATAACCAGTTGTTAAGAATTTAAGTTCTCCTATTCGTTCAGAAATGGTAATCCTTTTGAAAAGTACCGAAAAAACTCCGGAAAATACCGAATAAAGTTTTTGATACTAATTACCGAAAAAATCCGAAAAAGCTTAAATACCGAAACATCACTAAATACCGAAGACACCCCCGCCCCTAATTACAGAAGAAAAAAACCCTAGGCCACACATACGAATTGTTAGGTGGGTCAAGAAGCTAGATCGCGCATAAACATTGTGGGGAACTCTAGATCACGTATGAAAATGGTTGACACTCTAGGTGGGTAATGGGTGAGACTAGGCCACGCCTAAATATAGTGGGACACTCTCGGTTGGTCATTGCCCAAAATATGTCTCGTATAAGACTTGTTGGGCACTGTAGGTGGGTCATGGGCCAGGCTAGGCCACATACACAAATTCTGGGGTACTCTAGATTGGTCAACGGCGGGTTAGAGCAATTTCTCCCATTTACACCATTTAGTGTTGTTTTAACGGTATTTAGTTTAGTGATATTTCGGTATTTGGGGTTTTTCAGATTTTTTCGGTAATTAGTACCAAAAATAGTTTGTCCGGTATTTATCAATGATTTTTCGGTATTTTTCGTCATTTTTCGGATATTTTTCCGGTAAATTTTGAATTTTTTCGGTATATGGTAAAGCCGATCCGTTTTTACATCAAAGACTCTTGTCTGGCAACTTTTGTGGTACAGTCTAGACATGGTATCCACAGATCCATTTCACAACAAGTTGAAAGTTTAAAAAGAATCGTTGCGAAGATAATTTGAAATGCATTTACGACTAGGCATCACAAAATTGGCAACCTATCGCCTTTTACGTCACGTCATTTAGTTAGCAGACGGATCTCTTCGATACGGTTTGCACTTTATCGGTTTGCTTTTGTGTACTTAGTATTTTTCGGTTTTCCTCTGTTTTTGTTGTAAATGGAACATATGCCCTTACTTTATAGTCAATGTACCTCAGTTCTTTTGAACACTTAAAATGTTTCTCACTACAATATAGGTCATACCGATATGGTTACTTGTAATGTATAGGTATTTTTTTTTTTTCGATATGCTTACTAGCATGTTTCATATGGCATATAGCAGATGATGATTTATACTAGTACTCAGGGGCGGACAAAAAATGAAAAAAATATTTTTGTCCAATTCGTCTAAAAAACCTTTTTCTGCTGAACATTATATGGGGGGGGGGGGGACGATGATGATCATGTTGTATATGGCCGGTGGCTTTAACGGGCCGCCACGCCATCACTGGAGTCTGGAATGGGCTGGTATAATAGACTTTCTGGGCCGGGTGTGCTGGGTGTGGGCCGGAATTCGGAATCTTGCAATGGGGATTCCGAATTTCATCCGAAAATTTCATCGGCCAGAAACGTCTGCCAATGGTTCGTATATCCCAAAAAAAATCAATTTTAAGGCCTCAGCAAAATTTGGTGATAGCTGGTCTGCTGGCTGAATTTGACAGAGACTATAATCAGATATGCCACCAAATCGCATATTTGGGGTTCATTTTTCAAAATGTTCCCGGGGGAGAGCACCCGGACACCCCCCCCCCCCGTCCGGGCCCAATCCGCCCCTGCTAATACTACCCAATATTTGTCTATGGGTTATATTCCTGATTGTAGGACTTTCAGTTTTGAGGGAAGTCGTCTCTATCACTACAGGTCCGGGACTGAACAGCGTAGTGGACGCTTACGGCTAGCCCCCGGGTCCATTCACTTAATCTGATGTACGTTTGTTTGTGATTTCTGCGTATTGTATGTTGCCCGTAGTTTTGTTTTGTGTAATTATTAAGTATGTCCATAGATTTAATTTTTGATAATTGATATTGCCAAGATGTAAATTTAGCCACGCTAGGCTACGTTTTAATTTACATTATTTGGAAAATCCTTCAATAAGAGATGTAAAGATAAAATGCATTTTGCGTGAAAAATAAAACCCCATCGAAATCTGATAAGCACACAGGGATGTAATCCAGCTCGTGTCGGGTATGAATTTTGCAGATCTAAAAATTTTAAAGCATAAATCAGAAATGTCTATAGTTCATTTAAAACTGTGGAATATTTCTTTTTTAAAAAAAATCACTAATAAGGTTCTAAGCGCTGGACCAGTTAGCGTCGAACT